ATGTTATGCAGAAACATAAACTGAACAACTTTTGCCTTGGGATGATATCGAAATTCGTTGTCAATTTTAAAATAAAAAATAAAAACAAAGACACCCCCAATTTGTTTTTATTTTTTTTGTGCATTTAATTGCTAAAAATGGAGTTGTCCGGACCCGGACGTCCAGGACCCACCTGACTGTCCGCCCAGGACGTCCTGCCATCGGACAACTGGTAACATAGATTTTTTTTTCAATTCATGATAATGATGATATCATCCCATTCAAGATGGGGGGGACGGATCTATCAGATTCACATTGCGCATAATTTCCACCATCCCTGTCGCTTTAAGTGTAGGGTGTATGATCGATCACCTTAATACAACATGAGCGGGTGGTGGATCTTACGGAGGAATTACCAAACAGGGAACAACAAGAAAACCAGGAGGAAGTAGTGGAAAAAACTCAGAGCATGCTGCTTTCCCTCCGGAGTGAGGCTCATTCCGGAAGCCATCGAGCACATCTTCCTCCGATGCTGCAGGGCAGTATGGCTATGGAGTTGGTGGGATGGGATTTGGAGACAATTGGGTTACCTCTCATCGCATTACTGGCCTCGTAACAGGAGAGCTCTGCTTCTTGTGAGAGATGGATTCGAGAACAGGTAGCTGATTTTACCTTGAATATATTCATAACATAGGTAGGATGGTCGTACTTTGGGCAATTTGGATGGGAAGAGGTCCACCCATGAGATGGATGGAAATGAATTTACCGAAACTATCAAACAACAGGTTCAAATGGATATCATCACTGTAAAGTGGGACAATATCAAAGAGAAAATAGTACAGCAGCTCTCGTCTAAAACGGAAATTTGGCATCACATTCATTCATGCTTTTAATTGGTGCTGGCTTGGGGGGGGATAACGGAGGTTTAATGGGTCCCCCCCAAGCCAGAGATCAAGGCTTGGGAGGGGATTACGAAGGGCGAATGCCCCCCCTCTCCTCCCCCCCAAGCCAGAGATCAAGGCTTGGGGGGGGATTACGGAGGGCGAATGGGTCCCCCCCCAGCCAGAGATCAAGGCTTGGGGGGGGATTACGGAGGGCGAATGGGTCCCCCCCAAGCCAGAGATCAAGACTTGGGGGGGGATTACGGAGGGCGAATGGGTCAGGTGAAGTGGGAAAGGGGGGGACAAGCAAGAGATCCAAAGAAAAACTATTGCCTGATTTTTTCAATGATTGGACTGAGGTTGATCCTACAACAATTCCATACCATGATCACCTGCAGAATTCCCTCCCTGATTCTTTTTCCCCCATCGGGTCTAAATACACAGCTATAATGGTAGCTGAATTTGGGGTATCTTTCAGTCTAAATACACAGCTATAATGACCGTACGTTGTATTCGGGGGAAGACGGTAGATGTTGTGCAAGGTGAGTCAAGGGGAGAGGAATGGAGAGGTGAAGTGACTGAAAAGGGAACTGTGCTAGGAAGATTTGAGTTTCTGGCTCCCTCTACCCAGGTGTGAGGAGAGGCACAGTACTTCCTCATCTCTTTTTTTTTTTTTTTTTTTTTTTT